GCCACAGCGGGCAACAAGTCTTTCTTTCTCATTGCCGTTTGTGTGCAGATTAAACGGCCTTAGAGGTGCTGGTGGGTGGTTTTCTTTTAACCTGTGAACAGAGCCAGGCTGGCCGTTTCCCTAATCCCTAATCCTACCACTAGATGGGGCCAAAGTACAGAGCTCCACATACTACAGCGAGTGGGTGGAGGTGTTAAATCTGTTACCTCTCTGGGCCAGCGCACGAAGAAGAGCGGAACGATGATCATGATGCAACAGAACGTCACCCAGAAAACCGCATCAGAGCGCCTGAACACATCGAGGTCACCTGAGGAGAGAGCAGCACGCAGAAACATACATTACATACTGTAATGGCTGACTGGGGTCGTGTTGGGGGACCACACAGCGGGGTTTTTTTCCCCTACCGAGAGGAGTGAAGAGGACAGTGGAGGCGATGAGGAAGCCGAGCATCAATCCTACCACGATGATGCAGGCCATGACCGAACCGAACCGCCACCAGCTCATCACCAGGAGGACCCCACCCACCACGCCGATGACCGCCGACAGGGCCAGACAGACTGCAGGGGCAGAAACATAGGGGGCAACAAAGTCAGACTAATTCTACACATCGTGGCTTGAATCATGTGAACAGACGGAGAAAAAAGCCTCACTGTCATAGTCCAGGCCTGTGGTCCTTGTGATCAGCACGAAGAAGAAAAACGCTGCGAAGCTGAATCCCATACAGAACAGCTCTGCATGATGGAGAGAAAGACACAGAGGAAAAAGGAGAGAGAGAGAATAAAACTCAGACGTTACAGTGATTCATTCCCAGAACCAGGTCAGACATGTATTAGCCTGCTCACCCCACACAAACAGCACTAATGCTCCTTAAAATCCAGCCGCTGGAGGTTGGATCGAACCGCACACAACTCAGCCACTTCCAGATCTGTCAGAACTACTGGCAGCGGACGCAGCTCAGTCATGGGTTCAGTTTGGAACAAATACGTCTCTGCATCACATGCGAGGGAGACCACGAGGCAGGCCACCCGATCCGTTGGGTTTCTGATATTCACTCTTACAGATACTTGCAAATAGAATCCGCATAGGTGCATCGTCATGCTGAGTCAGAGCCTTTGCTTCCGTCTGAGTCATTTTCAAGCTCCTATGAAGAAGTTACGACTCGCAAACATCACCTCTGATCCCTGCTGATCTATTCCGTTGACCCTACGGTGAACTGTGACTGCAAACAGCTCCGTTTATGAGAGACATGAGTTCTGAGTTCTTTGTTTTAAAGGAACTTGTTTTCTCTTTTAATTAACTCTGGTTTCAGTATCACCACGGTGACTAAACTGCTAAAGATGTCGCCTGGAGTATTAATGTGATGCAGTGGAGTGCTAATATGTTTTACGATAACAGCAATAAAAATCACTTAAACTTCTACTCACCACATTTGAAGAATCGGTGCCCACAGAAGCACACAAACAGACCTGCCAAGCCAGCGATGGTGAAAAAAATCTTTGTAGATACCTTTCCTAGAAAAAAAAAAAAAGCTTAATATAAATCATTAACTGTGTTTAAAAAAAAAAATAGCTAAAGGTCAAACCTCCTCCTCTATAGCATTCCCTCTGCAGTAAGCTTCCTGCTATTCCTGAGGTAGATAATAGAATATCAGGAGATTATATTATTATCATGTATCTGAGGCCCACAGGAGCTCACCCAGTGTTTGACAGCCGTCCAGAGTGGAAGCGAAGCTGCAGGCGTAGGTGTGAACGGGGACGTAGGAGGCCGAGGTGTTCAGCAGCGGGTCCCTGACGATGACGGAGTAGACGACGCCCTGGCCGGGGATGGAGTTGAACACCGCCGTGCTCAAATCGGACGATGATAGCGTCATGACCTGCAGGGCGGTGGAGGAGAGTTGTTTGTTGTTATTGTTAAAGCTGCAGTAGGTGTGAAGC